GGGCAGGATGACGCCGTCGGCGACGCAGAGGCGGCAGAGCCAGTCGCCGGGGGGCACGGCGTCCAGCTCCGCGCAGGCCAGGTGCCAGGCGGAGGTGCAGGCGTCGCAGCAGAGCAGGTCGCCGCCGAGGGCGCAGGCGTGGCAGGCGTCGGCGTGCAGGTCGGCGGCCGCCGCCGCCAGCTCGGCGCTGTTCACGATGCCCAGCAGGGTCTTGATGGACACGTCAAAGTCGTCCAGGAAGATGCCGTCGGCGGGGCGACGGTCGCGGCTGCCGCTGTGCTCCTCGAACTCGGAGGGCGAGACGCAGGCCGCGCCGGCGCAGGCGCGGCAGCCGCAGACCACCTGCCCCGCGCCGTCCACGCGCCCCGTCAGCAGCACGCGCCCGTTCTTGGTCTGGAAGCGCACCGACCGCCCCGCCAGCAGCCCCGTGCGCATCAGCGTGCGGAGGTGTGCAGCCTGGCCGCGGCCCAGCCCGAGCGCGTCACGCACTTCCCAGGCCAGACGCACCAGGCCCTCGGGGTGGTGCGCCAGGCTGTCGGGGACTTGGAACGGGGCGCTCGGGGGAGGGGGCAGGAAGGGGCCTGCTGTGGGTGTAGGGCCGCCAGGAGCCGCCTCGGTGCCAGGGGGGGGCGGGGCCGGCAACGCCAGGGCGTCGGGAAGGTCGCAGCTGGGAGAAGGATCGATGCTCGCGGTCTTGGCATCTGGGGCCGACTGCTGCAGCGGCTGTCTGGTCAAGCCCCCGCTTGCAGGGGCGTCTGCCGGTGTGTCACCTTCCTCCCCGTCGGGCATCGATTGCCCGGCGGCCTCCGCGGACGGCGCAGGCCCGGCCCCTTCCTCCTTGAAGGTTGCCGGTCCGATGCCTTCCACACCGAGGAGGGCCGCCTCCAGCCCCGACTTTGCCTCCTCCTTCAGTTCTGGCTGAACGATGCCTGCAGGCCCTCGCAGCGGCTGCTCGGCGACGACTGTGACGCCCGCCTCGCTGCCTTCCGCCGCGCCATGTGCGTGGCCGCTGGCGGCGGAGAGCGGCTCGTCGACTTTGCTCTTGGGACCCGCAGTCTCCAGGTGCTGGTCAGACGCCAGCTCCTGCCCGGCGTGGACACTGGCTTCCCCCTCGGCGCCGTCCTTCCCCGCCAGGGTCCATAGCGACCGGACCATGGCCGGGAGCGCGGTGGCGCGGCTCTGCGGCGGGAGCAGGCGGGAGGTAGCTCGATGCCAAGGGGTATAGATGATATGTGAGGATGCTATGGTGGCCATGCTGGGGTTACGTCACGGCTGTCGATCGCAGCAGACCCGACTCGATCGATCACCCGCACACGCCCACAACATCAGCACAGCCTCCAGCCTTCCCGCGCCCGACGCGGCCTGTCCTTCCCACCCACCAATCATACTCACTCACCCCCCAACCTCCCCTTCCTGCCTCACCGTGAAGCTCTGGCCAGGGCACAGGGTGGCATGCATCTCCTTGAACGTCGCCGCCTTCCTGGCGCTCCCCCGGCTGGCAGGGAACAGGGCCAGCACCCGCCCCGTCAGGTCGCCCACGGTCCGGGCCTCCGCCGCGGCGGCCAGCAGGCCCTCCATCTCGCAGCCGTCCTCGGGCGGAGGGGGCAGGGAACCCCTCGTCCCAGGAGAGCCCCGTGCAGTCGCGGGGACCATGACAGGCTCGGCGGCCGGGGCGCGGCGGCCGTTGCTCACTCGCTGGCGCTTGCGCGGCGCGCTGCCTGCAGACCTCGGGGCCTCGCTGGCCTCCGGGGCCGCCTCCCGTGTCGCCTCAGGCACAGCGGGGGGGTCTCCGCCAGCACTCAGTCTTGCGTCGTCCGGCCCAGCCTCTGAGGCATCCCTCTGGACGCCCAGCCTGGCAGCCGACAGGGACAGGACGGACTGCCGCAGCCTGACAGGCGAGCTGCCCCTGCGGGACTTTGACTGAGCCGGGGTGCTGTCGGGCGCTTGTGCGGGCATGGCGGCGCCCCCGGCCTCGCCGGGCCTAGGGCGGCCGCCCAGTCCCGCAGCGCCGGACTCGGCGGCGAGGCGCGCCGCCGAGGACCTGCAGGCGCGAGGGCTGCTGAGGTCCAGGCTCTCCTGGTCCAGGTTGGCAAGCTCGCGCTTGGGAGTCCGACGCCGCGACTGGCGCATGTGAGATGGGGAGGCAGGTGGGCGGCCGCCCGATGTTGGCAGTTGCACAGGTGCGAAGCCTCTCCTGCGGCACCGCGGCGGTGATGTCAGCCCTGTCGAATGCACCCCCTCACCTGCAACCCATTTGGTGCTGTGGGACTGCTTTTGCTTGCTTGGTTGACCATTCAGGCGCAGGCAGGTGTATGTTGGTGGGTCTGTGTGGCAGGTGAGGTGCAGGGGGGGGCCTGTGAGGGCCCAGCTGGCATGTTTCAAGGTCCAACTAGGTCTTAGAGCTCCATTGTACATGTGGACGAGCCTCACGCAGCCAGCTGTAGGCCGAGGCGTGCCCAGCATGAGGTCCTCGCAAGGGCTCGCGAAAACTCAAACGGACCCTGACCTGGGCCCAGACGGACCGGAAAGCACATAATTGCTTACTTCAAACACCCTAAAGCCATGAAAATGCTCTACCTGCGACAACAACCTCTCTGCCAGGACGCGACAAGCCGCTTCCGCAGTTCAAACGGGTTGCAGCAAGTGCTTAATCTGGAATCTCTCGCAGGGTGCTGTTCCCTTCATCTCGCACCCACTCGTTATATCCTTAGAGCAGGAGTGGTTCAAAGGTGCGTAAGGTAGTCCCAAGGGCGCCTGTGTAGGCCATACAAATAATCCCCTTGAACCCAACCCTTCTTCCCGCGCTTCAATGCGCGCTCTGTCGGGGGGAGCTGCAAATTCCCCGATGCTCCGATGCCCAGGGCACCTCATCAGTCCTGTGCAGGGGCAGAACGCGCAGCTGTCTGCGAAGGACCAGTCGACGACTACACCATGGTGGGCGGGGACAGGGCACGGGAAAGCATCTGGGTTCAGGGAGTGTGGTGAACAACTCCTCTCTTCTGGGTGCCCGGACCTCCGACGACCAGATTGGCACCTCTCTCAACTCCCAGGCGTCCATGAGGACGGTGGAGGAGACCTTTTTTGACTTTTCCCAGAGGAGGAAAGGAATACTGAGGGCCCTGGTACAGGAGGTGCGTGGGTACTTTCGGTACGGAATGGGTCCTTGCAAGGTCAGGTCCGGGATGAGTGTTCCTCTCCTCCGCACATCAGCCCGAGAGGCCTTCGCCCGCGCAGGTGGACAAGTTCTACGCGGCATGTCACCCAGAACTGGACAATCTCTGCCTGTACGGCAACCCAGACGGGAGCTGGGAGGTCCGACTGCCATGTGATGAGGTGGGACTCTTGTGTAACTTTGAAATTTTTGGCACTCCACAGGCGATTCCTTGCCATTTTTCGCCCCACAATGCAAGCACCGATTTGACTATGTGAACACTGTGTCCTACACCAAACCATGGAGCTGGCAATGCCGGAATACCCCCACCCCCACCACCCCGTCCCAGGTTCCACCAGAGCTGCCCGAGCCGGCTCTGGGTATCAACTTTGCAAGGTGAGTTCCTGCGCGTGTGGAGGACCGCAGTAATCGGGAGAATGTGCACCGAATTTCCGTGCACGGCATGCCTGCGGATGGTGGAAGGGAAGCCAAGCTACATGCTCGGTGACCCTACGATAAAAAAAGCATTATTCAATGCTCACCCACTCCTTCGTTAGGGACGGCATGGACCGTCGAGATTGGCTGTCGCTCATAGCGGTGCATTCCGACTCCTGGCTCATCTCAATGGCCTACTTCAATGCCGCCAGGCTGGATGCCGAGGGCAGGTGGGCGGGGGCCGAGGCTGTCATGTGTGACATGGATGGCTCTGATCATTAGATTGTGGTTTGCCAATAGAGATGGCAAACAGACCTCTTTGGAGCATGCATGCGTTCTTGACCTGGGTCGTTCGTCTGTCGCTCCCCTCGCAAGCATTCAGTCAATACCACACTCTACCCCTGGCCCGCAGGCGGCTCCTCTTCAATGAGATCAACTCCCTGCCCACATGTCTTGAGGTGGTGACAGGCAGCGCAGCCCCCGGCAGCACCACCCAGGCTGCCGCTCACATATCCAAGCGCCCCGCGGGAGTGCCCCAGGCAGACCCTGCCCCCGATACAAAACGCCCGGCCTTCCACCCTGCCGTGAGTCTGGCTGTGGCGCTGGGCCAGACCGTGTGCGGCGCTGCTTGTCTGCTGCACTCGTTGCTCTAGCCGGTGGCACTGGCTCCCACTCTGTACCCCCGCCTGCTCCGAGAATGTCTTCGCCCTTCCTCCCCAGGCCAACCAGGGGCGGCCGCGACAAGGGCCTCCCCCTTCATCGGCCGCCGAGGAGTCCTCGGGGTCGGAGGATGCAGAGGAAGCGGAGTACGAGCCCTGCCCCAACTGCGGCCGAGAGTTCAAGTGGGTGCGGGTGGTGTGGGAGCCCAGGGGTGTGGCATGGCTGGTGTGCTCCTGCCCAGAGCTCCTGTGTGGTGCAGAGCTGCAGTGGCATGGGCCTGTCGCCTTGCACGACATGGCGGCAACCTAACGGCGGCTCCAAATGCATACGAAACCAGGGACGGCGACTTCTGGATCTTCTGCGACTACTGCCGGCGCTGGTTCGACGGGAGGTGTGTGGGCATGACGGCGCAGCGTGCCGAGGCCTCCAAGACGTGGAAGTGCCCCTTCTGTACCAAGGAGGCATAGCGAAGCACGGTCGGCTCGACGGCGCGGCCCCGGCCGCCGCCGCGGGCCCGCCCGTACGCCCCTCGCTGTAGAATGGCGCGCGGGAGCGGGGGTGTTCCGGAGACTGCCTGCGTGGCCAGACCCTGGGTTGTCTATTTATCGACGTCACAGGCTGAGAAGACGGAATTGTGTACGTGGGTGAACAGGGCAGGCAGCCGGCCGCTGCCCTCACTCGCGAGCTCAGTGCGCGGCAACCGGCGGCCGCTGCTGCGCGACGGCGGACGCGCCCCGCCGGCCCCCCAGCAGCATGTCGGGGGAGTAGCTCGACGCCACGTCGGTGATGTAGGGGCCTGCGGGAGAGGAAGGGCGACGCGCCTGTTGTCGACTTGCCCGGCGATGGCGCGCCTCGGCAGCCGCCCACTCCCACCGATTCCAGGCAAGACCCGATTCAGCCAGGCCAGGGGTTCTCCACCCCGCTGCAGCGCACCGTTCATGATCTGCAGCACGGTCACCGCCTCGTTGAAGGGCAGGCCCGGCAGCAGCTTGGGGGTGAGGAGGAAGCACTGGGGCGTTCCTGGCCTGAGAATGTAAGGGGTTGTTGGGGGGGTGCAGATGAGACAGCAGGGGGGGGGGAGGGGTGGTTGCACTGCCTGCCTAGTGGCCAGGCCTGAGCTGCAACGAAGCAGACCCTCCTTTCACCCACCAAAGTCGCATCCAAAACCAGAACAATAGCCAGCGTACCTGCTTGCCGCCTCCACGAGCTGCGTGTACACCTTGCGCTCGTTGATAGGATCCATGCCCTGGTTGATCTCGTCCACCACGCGGAAGGGGGCCACCGTGATTCCCTGGGCAGGCATGTGCAGCGTGGGGAATGATGAGGGGGGATGGGTTTGATGGACTCCCAGGCTCTGGGCTGGCAGTCGCAGCTGGGTGCCACGAGCGCCGATGCCCCAGGACGAGGCTCGGGCCCTGGTCCGGGCCGGCCCCGCCCGCGGCAAGGCATGGCCATCAGTTCCACCGAGGGAGCCGCCCAGGGAGGCAGGTCAGGCCCCCACCTGCACACACCTGGAGCGCGATGAGGTAGAGGATGGTGGAGACGGACCGCTCCCCGCCGGACTGGCGGTGTGCATCCAGGGTCTCCAGCTGCTGCGACTCCCGGAACTTGACCCTGATCTCGACGGCGTACCCCTCGAAGTCCTGCTCCGTCTCGCGCAGGACCACCTCCCCCGCGCAACCCACCTGAGTGCGTGGGGTCAGGTGCATGCTGTTGAGCAAGGGAATAGTTCCTGACGGAGGCTGTGGGGAAGTAGTGGGTGGCCCCATACTGCTTGATGCTCAAGGTGGGGTGCAGCTTCCACAAGCCAGACTCTCGCACAGCGCTGATGCGCTCCCGTGCCATGCAGGAGCGCCAGACGTCCTCCTGGACTTCATTGGGATCCTCACCGAAGCAAAGTTCCTCTGGAAGCTGCCGTTGATATGGTCCACGATGTTACGGATCCTGGACAGCCATTGCTCCTGGGAATGGGGTCGGGCAACGGTGGGGATGATGCCAGGCTGCCGCGACTGGTCACCAGAGTGTGCGTGAAAAGCTCGCGCATGCAGCGCCGTGCAGCACTGAGATGCCACGCCGCAGAGGGAACCCATACAACTGTTTTGAGTCAGTCAGAGGGAATTCGAGAGCGCATGGGCGGGCCACCTACCCCCTGCAAGCACACCCCTCACCTGGACGGACTGCAGCTCTGCGTCGCAAGCACTCAGCTGCGCCTGCATGCCCTCGAGCTCACGCTCCTGGGAGGCAATCTGGTCCTCCCTGAGCTGGTACTCCTCCCATGCTCCAGGATTCGTGATCACCAGCCCAGCCAGCTCGGTTTCCTGTTGATTTGAATGAGGGTGGAGAGGATACATTTCGTCTCTGGCATCGTGTAGATCCCCACATTCACCCTTGTGACAATATTTGTATGCACACAGGCGGAATGATACCTCTGTGAGAGGGCCACATGCTGCCCTGAGCGTCTTTGTATCGCTGGCACCTCCCCACACACACACACTCCCCAACACTGAGGATACAGTGTCAGAATCCCCCCTCCCACCCCACCATGTCGTACCAGGGTCTGCTGGTGCTCCGTAAGTTCCAGGAGATCGTCAGGGAATTGGGCAAAGAGCGCGTCGTCTCCGGTCTTGTAGGCTTCGTGGAACATCTGACGCACAGCCCTGCTCAGGAAAGGGGGGTAGATTCATCGAGCTCAGGACCGATTGACCAACCTGGGACACATGCCATGCACTGTAAGGTATGCGGCCAGGGTTTTGCGGGCTGAGCGTCCGCATCGCAGAGCGGAAATTCAATGGTACCAAAGTGTTATGAGGCACCCGATCACCACCGCCCTTCAGGACTCACTCCAGCTCTCGAGTCAGCTGCATGACCCTGCGTATCTTCTCCCCAGCCTCCTGCTTCAGGCCGTCCATCTGGCGAATGCGTCCCCTGAGGAAGCAAGGGCGGGCACGCAGGTGAGATGCTTGTGCGCCCAGAAACACAACCCGACTGGAGACTTGGACAAGGCACCTCGCAGGTAGCTCGTCCTGTAATGTCACGATTATTCCCTTGCCCCCTTGCTTACGTGGAGACCTGCCTCGCGGCCAGCATGCGCAAGGCCAGCGCCTTGCACTCCAGGTCGGCGACAGCAAAGTCCCGGTGCGCCTCTCCCAGCTTCAGGAGTGTTGCCGCGAGATCCAGGGCCTGCGACGGTGTGGTGGGGCGTGTTTCATAGATAGGTCATTGTGGAGGCTCCGTGGTGCTGGCGTCTGGGCCTCGTCAGAGGCCGCCACAGGCGTGGGACCCCATTACCGCCACCCCTCCTCGCACGCAGTGCCAACACACAGCGCCACAGACCAGAGCATGGGCGGCGGCGCGGATCCTCGCCGACTCCTCCTCCAAAGCCGGTTTCCTGGTCAAGGGGCTGCCCTGCTCGGCGAGGCGTGCCAGCTCTCGCTTCTTCTGGTCCAGGGTGACATCCAGGTTCCTGTCCCTGCACAACATGGGCACGGAACATGGTGTTTGATGTCAGAATAGCATCGCCCTCGTCCTCGGTGCGCCTGTACTTGTCTCACACTCTCCTCCACCTCCAAGAATAGCTCCATGCAACTCCATTCCCTTCCACATCTCCCACCTGGCGTGGATGCCACGCAGCTGCTCGCTGACATCGGCATACTGCTTCCCGACCTCCTGCACCTGCAGGAGGATGGGCTGCTGCGCTGCACGGACCGCCGCCAGCTCCGCCTGGTGCTTGGCCACTCTGGCCTGGCACTCCGAAAGGCTGGCCTGGGCTCCCTCCAGCTCCGACCCGCGGGTGAGGGAGGCGGGCGAGAAGATGCGGGGGGCAGAGATCTGCCAGACGTTAGGGGGAACGTGGGTGCTTACATGAGCGGCTGCTTGAGCGAGACATCAAACTAGCACGCAAGAAAAGGACAGATACACTGGAGTGGCCGACTGGTGCAGGAGGCACCTTGGACCGAGCACAGTACATGCTCCAGTGAAGGTGAGCCCCTGGCCTGAGGCTGTCGTTTGGCGCAAGACAGGGACAGCGTCAGGGCCGAGGCGTCCCATCTGAAGCCATTGGATCCCAGTTCCACACTGCAAAGCATCATTCCGAGCCAAGTAGGAGAGCTCGCTCACCGTAAGGATGGAGCAAGACTCGGCACTCGCGTTGTACCGGCTCCGGATGCGTCTGCAGGCATGGAATGGGCTCGCTGGTATGGAGCGCAGGAGAGGCCCACATGGATGTTGCCTCATCCCCATCCATGGACGTGTAACGTACCACCATCCGCCCTCCCCTCCTGTCCCTCCATCCACTACCCACCGATAGGAGAGCTTGGGGGTATACAGGTTGGTGAGGCGGGGCACCTGGGCCAGAATCTCCTTGACCGCTTCCTGACGGGGTCGGAGTATGGAGAGAATATACTGTTCACATGCCCTCCAGTACCCCGCTCAGCGCTGGCGCCCCCCTGCTGGCCCTTTTCATGGGCCACACTCCCTGGACGTCATGCCAGGGCCGCGCCAGGCCCCCCCTCACCCCACATGTCCCTTCCTTGCCTGTGCCTGGGAATTGCCAATAAAGGCCTCGGTCAGGCGGCTCTCCTCCTGCAAGAAGTGCTTGACCAAGGCCGGCGACTCAAACACCTGATCAAGCGAGTGCGTCACGCCATACCTGCAACGACGGGGTCGGGGGAGCGTGGATGATGGCGGGGAAGCATTGGGCAAATAGGGGGCTTTAAGTGTGTGGATCGCTGACCCAACAGAACATTGCACCCCAGGCACCCTGGCAGGGACAGCTGAAGCCTCAAAGAAGCCAGTCACGCAAATACCCCAGGCATCCAATGCACCTGGCATAGTGCGCGGCCTCGCCCAGGGGCCGGCTCAGGGCCTCCTCTGGGTTGCCTGTGAAGTTGGCGATGCTGGCGTCAAACCTGGCAGGGCGCGGGAGAAAATGGGTGGGGGGTAGGGATTCTGGGCATTGTCTGGGTCAGAGTGCCGATCTGCATCCTGAGAACATGATCTCGACCTACGCACCATGCCCTGTGGCATCACCGATACCCATCACGAGCCAGCCGCCGGCAGCACCCACCCGCACTGGCGCTGGAGCTCCTGCTTCAGCAGATCCTGGTCCTCGCGATGCTGCACCACAAAGTAAGTCCACTTGTCGGCTGTGGGGAATGGGTCGAGTGTGGGGCCGTGGAGGGGCTGCAGGCAATGCGCAGGGTGCATGCAAGGGCTAGGCAGGGGATGGAGACGTAGTTGTGACATGCGCTGGTCCAGGCTGTGCATGCAGACACCTGCCTGAGTGGGCCCCCAAGCCATGCCTCTCCAGCACGCTTGCTCATTACCAATACGCAATGACACAGGCCTCTCAGATTCTAGGGCTGAAGCCTCGGCACAACCCCTTTTCCAACAAACAGTACTCAACTGCCCCCCAAGAAGCAGAGTCCGCCCCTCCAACCAACCCACCAGTCACATGGCACTCCAGGGCCTGGGCATGCTCAATGCTGGACACCTCCACGCACGCGGCTACAGGGCCCAGCACCATGCCCCTGAACCGATCCCGGTTGGCCTCCAGCCACTGCGCGGCCCTAGCGATGCCGGGCTTCCGCCGATTCAGCTCCTGCGGGGGGTGGAGGTGGAGCGTGGTGTGCTCATGATGCCATTCTCTGATAAAAACGAGAGAACCTCGGGCCGCAAGCCTCGGAGCCTGTGCACCAGTAGACCACCCATCCACCCACACATGCGGCCCCCCTCTTCCACCCCCTTCTCTGCAGCTTCCGTCCAGCTGCCCACCTCCAGGCGCAGGCGCCTGGTGTCCTGAAGCTCCGAGACGGCCGTGGACCAGCGCTGCGCGCCCTGCTCCGCGAGGCCCAGCGTGTGCTGGGCGTCGACCGCCCTTTCCTCCAGCAGGCGCGACTGGAGCTGGAGATCGCTCTGCAGCCGGCTCAGCCGAACCTTCTCTGCGGCCAGCTCCGTGCGGCCGCCGTCCTGCGGCGCCCGGGCCTCTGTGGGTGGGGATGGGGCTGAGGGAGTTTGCGGGCACTGCCAGGCTGTGTGCAGGGGCCCTCGCCACACAGACCCCCATCGCATCGGCAATGATCTGACGACTCGCGCGCTGAGCGCCTAGGCTGTCATTGCACCCGTGCTGCTCTGGGCTTCAGGCCAAGCCAGAGTGAGAAAATTGGCCAGCAAGGTGCCCCCATGCCAGGGTACATGGCTTGCTGCCCTTCGACGACGTGACAAACCCTCTTCGCACCACACAACCGCACCCTCAGGCCCAGCCTCCCCCCCGACATCCAACGTACCTTGCTCCAGCTGCACGATGAGGGTCCGCAGGCCCGTGATGCGAGCCTCCCAGCCAGCCGCCTCGCCCTCGAGGCCGTCGATGCCGCGCTGGCGGACGCCCAGGTTGGCGGCCAGTTCCTCCAGCGCCGACAGCATGCTCTGGCCCCTTTCCGTGCCGTTGAGCTTCCCCTCCACCACGCTCAGGCTCCGCTGGGCCTTGGCGCGCACCCTGTCCGCCGCCGCCTCCTCCTTGCTCAGCGCCCTGATGGGGGGCAGGGGGGGAGCTGGGCATGATGTGTGAGTTCTTGGTCCCCATTGTGAGACAAGTCCCGTGTCAGGCACGCTGCCGCGCCATTGTGCCCGCTCAAAGACCCAGCAGTGAGATGAGGTGACCCACGCTGTGCGCGGGGCGGGCTGAGATGGTCACGCCCATCATCACGCTGCCATGCCCAGGCCCCCATACACTCTGTGTTGGCGCATTTTTCAAAACCCCACCCCCAAGCAAAGCCCCACTCACTTGGAGGTCCCCGTCTCCTCCCTGATCTGCGCCTCCAGTTCTGCCACTGCGTCTGCGGCGGCTATGGATTCCTGTGCAGGGAGTGGGTGCCATGGGGGGTCCGAGGTGGTCCCCATACTGTCCATCTTTCAGGAACTCAGGAAGCGCCGTGCGCCATTGGAAACGCCGGTCACAGCACCCGACCCATGCTCGGCAGCGATTCGACCACCCCCGACAGGCAGCGCTCCTTCCCCTTCAGTCCCCTCTGCACCTGCTCCGCATCTCTCAGCATCCTCTCCACGCTCCGGTGCTTCAGCCAGGCACTCTTGGAGCCGCACAGCCGTATGTCCTCCTTCAGCCGTTTGCGCCGCTTCAAGGCACGCACCGCCGGCTCGGCCCGCACATTGGCTGCCCTCAGGGTATCCAGACTCTCTGCCAGCGCCTTGGTGGCCTGGAAGGGGAGGGTTGGCGGGGTTTGGGTGGGTAAGGGTTGGGAGATGCAGGGATTAGACATGGGCGCTGCTCTTCCCCGCGCCCTGCCAGCCCATGAGAGTGGCATGCACCGTGTGAGGATTGGGGGTTGAAGGATTCAGGCCAGGGGCAGCACCACTCACACTCTCGAGCCGCGCCGCGTCCTTCCTGCCCTGGATCAGCCTGTCGTGCGCTGTGGTGAGCGAGTCCTCCCCGATGGAGGCCTGCGTTGCCCGCAGCAGGGCCTGTGGGTTCAGCCTCGCAAACTCCACGACCTTGTCCTGGGGCAGGAACTGCGGGGGCGCAGAGGGGAGGTCATTGCTCGTGTGGAGGCGCTTGTGGCTGGCGCTCGCAGGTTCTGGCGAGCACATGGCCGCAGCGTGCATTTCTCGAGGGGACGAGGGACGGGGGCCGCTGTGTCCGGTCCTGCACCATGGTCGTCCAACACACCTCAACACTTCCCCCCAACCCCCCCATACATCACCTGGCACAAGTTGTCCAGGTGGATGTTGAGCGAGGCCACCCTTGCCTGCACATCCCGGTTCAGGCACTCCTTGCCTGCAATTGTGTAATTGGCAATGTATCATTCAAAAAACATGGATGGGCGGTACGGTAGAGTCTAGCACTTGACGCCACATAGTTTTTCTGCCTCCAACAACCCCCGCACCATTGATGCTCCAATCCGAGGAGTTCTTGCTGGAATACATGATTCGCTGGATGAGAGTCTCGCGGCCCTCAGGGCCACCAGCCAGCGTGATCTTCACCCAACCCTTGTCAGCTCCTCGGCGTACGTAGTTTGACACTTCGTCGGCTCTGCCCAGCAGCTGTGGGTTTGGCGAGATTGGGGGGATTAGGTTCGCAGATTGATGTGAGAGAGGTTTGCGTCTAGCGCATTGGTTGGGGTGGGCTGGCATGCCTTGCACTGAAGGATGCATACACAAGCAAAGGACATAGCGCCTGCAGCAATATCCACCACCACCACTTGCCCCAGGCTACCTCCCAAGCACCAAGCCGGGTCAGGTTTGCAAACCGGCACCCACCCCTGTCTTTCCGCCGAGGCCGACGCACAGAGCGCACACCAGGGAGCTTTTCCCAGTTCCTGTGGTGTGCAAGCCATCAGGGTCTGGGTTACAGACCTGCAGAGAGATTTCTGAGGCTCCTACATCTATTGACCCCCGCCATAGTCAATCCTGCCCAACCTACCGTTGGGGCCCAGCACCAGGTTAAGCTGGGGGCCTGGGTTGAAGACGGCATGCGTGTACGTCTGCGAAGCGCATGGTGAGGACGCTGCCAGACCGTTGTCAGGCTGGGGAGCCAGATCCCTATGCCATCCCCCCCACCCCTTCCTACCATGAAGTCCTTGAGTTCCACCTTCAAGACGGCACCACGCACGGCGGCCCTGGGACAGATGAAAGGTACGCGTGAGGGAGCTGGGAAGAAATGCGAACATGTCAACCTCTGTGATGTGCTGTGCATACCTGGAGTGCGCAGGCTCCTCCCCCATCTCGACCCCCTGCGGTGCAGCCTCTACTCAGCCCGTGCAGCACCTAGCTGCGACTCGCCCATCATGCGCTTGGATCGAGTTGAAGAATAAGACGATATTATCAACGCTCAATAGAGCAACAACTAGCGCTTTCCTTATGTTCGCTGCACTGATCTCTGCCACAGGAGACGATTGTTGTATTCAACTTTCGGAACCTGAGGAATAAGGCGCAAGATCGGCAGACCTTGTAATCTGACGAGACTCAGGGCTCTTAGAGCGATGCATACTCATTTTCCATCCAGCAACCACACAAGAAACAACCTTACTGTAACGTCGGCGTAGGCATATGGTTGTGAGATGCCAAGGCTGGAGGTCGGATTCCATATACATATACAGTCCAAGCTGCGAGGCTGCAAGTCCATCGAAACCCCGAGCGATCGTAGGCGTGCGTTGCCAATGGTTTCAGCTTGTAGCGCGGTTCTACGTGATCTCTTTTGTTTCTGAAGTTCGTTGAGAGTCCATGCCTGCTCCCATGGCGAGTTGGCCGTCACTACTACACCAGCAAGTGCTGTATGCCCCCCTCTGCCCCATATGCCTCGACAAGACTTCGAAAATTGAAAATGATGATTGTTTTTTCAAGCGTTTCCTTCGAACGCTGTCTGCGAAGGCAGGAGTAGCTTTACGAAGCCTGCAACTTCACACCGCGCCTGTAGGTCCCAGACACCTGAGCTGAATTATAAGGTCGTGCTTGTCGACAGCCACCGGTAATACATCGTGTACTATGCTGCAGTCCGCAAAGCAAGCGAACGTCATTGGTGATGCTAACGGGAACTCGAAATGGATGGCCGTACGTAGTTGGATCCCCTCGCGCGCTGAAACAGCCGATCTCGTCCAACTGGGAGACTGACCACCGGGAATTACCGCCCACCCCTTCACAACATTGCATTTCTACATAATGAGCGCGACAACGAGATTCCCAGCACCCTTCATGACAGGCCCCTGGGGGCGGGTCGCCAAAGCAGCGATGAGCAGGCCCACACCTTGCGGGTCATTTGCCGGGTCACGGCATGTTCAAGGGCAGATGGCCTCGCATTACTATACTTTGGGAATTGTTCCATCCTCTCCCATGGTCCATCACGCTGCCAGAAATCAAAGCGCTGTGCCGAGGGGGGGCCTGGTGCTCAGAGCCCAGAGGGGTGGCAATCCTCAGGTCGCAGACCGGGTAGTGTCCTCCCTGCCCTACCTTATCCCCCTGTTTGATGGCCTGCGATATGGTAAGCTTGTGGTGCAGGTTTTGGAGCCTCCATGGCTCTGAGGTGTCGCCATCCTCATCTGTATGGCTATGCTCCCCCTGAGGGACAGCCTTACGCCCCTCCTCGGCACTTGCAGGCAAGTTCATCTTCGTGCAGTACCCTGCAGTCCAGTACGTGCTGGCGCCGCTGCAGCCCCTCATCAGCCTCTACTTTGGGTTCCCCTTTGCGAGGTGAGGCGCTGACTTGCGTGCCAGGATCTGTTTGGAGATGGCAGCTTTGGAGAGCACGCGATTCTACTGCCAGCAGGATGGGACGATCCCTATCTGCAAGAATTTGACACACATGCAATCACCCTGTCCACCTCGCAGCCTGGTGGTCTTCTTTGGGGTGTATGCCGGCATTATCAACAACCAATCGTTCAGGTGAGGAGGGGAATGGGCTGGGGAAGGCGGAATGGGGTCGATCCACTCGCCAGACCCGGCCCCATGCTGACAAATATACATACCTGGGCATGACTGTCGTGCAGACGCTTCAATCAGCCTCATCTCAAGTCTCATCCCAGCCTCCTCGCAACACATGCAGCCGATTCGTGAGGTTGAATGCGCTGCAAGCGGTCCTGCTGTCGGTCATCCTGATGTGAGTCCCATGCCTTGTCTGGGCCTCAGAGTGCAATGCATGGATATGCGGGCCCTGTGGGGCAGGAAACGCCTGCATGCTCCCCGTTTGCAAGAATGTTCACCTTGCTCGCCCCTCTTGTAATCCTCTGCAGCCTGCCTGGCCTGCTGGAAAGCGTGTTCCTGCAGAGCCCTCCCCGGGGCACTGCCCTGCAAATCTACATCCAGCTCAGCAACGCCATCTGGCTCTTCACCTCTGTCTGCGTCGCCTATGGCATTGGCGCGAGCCTGGCTGGACGCGTCGCGCAGCTGCCTTTCGTCAGCAGTGCGGCAGAGGCACAGGTCCGCTGACACCTGGGCGGGTTTGGGGGGCCCGATGCCAGGGCCACGGCATCGCGTTCCCCCATGCAATGGTCATGCATGCTCTGGATGCCTCCTCTGGTTGCATGTCCCGTGGTCCCCGTCTGCGCTGCATATGGTTGTTGAGATATTGTTGCACCGACGATTGTGGGGGTCACAGCAAGAGGCTGAGGGATGCAGCCAAAGTCCATATGCCAGCCAGAGCTCAGACTGGGTTGCCATGCTTGGCAATGTACTCGTTGATCTCCTCCGGGCTCATGCCCTCAAATGGATCTGCTGCGCTGGCGCCTGCCGTGGCCTTGCTCACATACTCCTGAATGGCCTGTGTGGGTGTAGGGTGGCAAAAAGTATGAGATGCTGCCGCGTCTCGAAAGCAGGCGGGGAGCTGCCAGTGAGCAGCAGCATGCTTGCCTGCGCTCCTCTGCCAGGGAGCCTAGACAGCAAGACCTGACTCTCTATATTTTCATCAACCAGCTGGACCCCACAGAAGAAGCTGGGACTTGCCTCCGGCTCCAGACCGTCGAACTCCTCCCCATCCAGCACGCTCTGCCCTGCCAGGATGAGCCGAGTCCTCTCCAGCTTCCGCGCCTCCTTGTCCTCGTCCACCGTGGGTGGTTCCTCGGTCTTCCAGAACCTTGGCAGGTTGTTGTAGGCCAGCAGGCTCATCCCTGCGACAAAGGCACCCCAGTACACCTTCTCCCATGTGGTCAGCTTGCCGCCCTCCATCTGCCGACGCTCCCAGGGAAACATCCAAACAGTAGCTGCAGGGGGTGGGTGTACATGGGCATGGAGGCAACGTCTGGGCAACGAAGCTGAGCTGGCTTGTTGGATGTGGTTGATAGAGCTCCATCGTTCCTTACACGCCGAGCCCAAATTGCAGCGACCGTCCCACTGCATGCATGCTCACCAATGGCAGCACCCTCTCGCTGAGCCTGTGCCAGCGTGCGTTCTCCTCCAGGAGCCATCTGGGCGGCTGCCTCGGTTGTGGAGGCCAGCGAGGAGGACGTGGTCCCTCCATCGACTCTCCGAGCTGGGAACCTGGCACCCGAGGCAGCCTTTGCAATGTCGTCCGGCAGGGAGCTGAAACCCGAAGCTCCACCGTATCGTCTTGTCCAGCTATCACGAAATGCTACCCTCGCAGCCAACTGGATGCTGCGAATGGTCTGCGACATTGCGGTGCACCACCCTCCGCGTACGTGCGTCGCTGGGATCACCTATGGAGATGGCTGTGTGGATTTAGTGAGCAAATATTCCTATATCTGCGACAAGACGGTTCTATAGTGTACAGCCTTTCGTATCAGTATATAAAGTTGTTCCGACCACCGTTCGGCGAATGAACACCAACTCATGCAATGGTCATCGTCGCGCCCTGTCGCATTGGTTGGACCACTGATGCTCGGTCCCAAGAGTCTCACACATCAAATGGTAGAAGGGTTGTACAGACGATTTTTCAAGCTCACGTCAAAACAGACTGAGAGACATCTCACCCTTAAGTTTCAGAGAAGCCGGGCCTTGATGATCCGCACCTCGCCCAAGGGGCGGTCGCCGGCATCTGTCTGCACATTGCCCAACCGCTTGATCACCTCCATCCCACTGCTCACACGGCCGAAGATGGTGTGCTTGCCGTCCAGATGCGGTGTTGGGGCTAGTGTGATGAAGAACTGGGGGTTGAACAGGTAAAGTGAATGTTGGGCGGTGAGGGACGTGATGAATCACCTCTCGCGCTACCTGTACTTGCATGGAGGACTCTGCTGCATGATGCCAAATGTCCTCATGCGCACAACAAGCAACGGCTGCCTAGATGGCATATTATTGATCCCCTTGAGTACACCGGCAAGCGTCAGCACCAAACGAATACCAAACAGACCCCATTGTCCAATCAATGCCCACCTGACTGCCATTGGTGTTTGGACCCGAGTTTGCCATCGACAGAATGCCTGCCCCAGTGTGCTTCAGCTCTCTTGTCACCTCATCCTCGAACTTCCCGCCAAAGACAGACGTCCCGCCCCTCCCGGTGCCGGTGGGGTCGCCACCTGGTGTGCCACCGTGAAGACATGTGGGTACAGACAGCCAGGACAGCAATCGATGAAAACAACATGCATGGCAATCTGCATGCCCAGAAACGTGGCGACCCTCATTCAATACCTTGAATCATGAAGTCCCGAATGATCCTATGAAACTGGGCATCGAGGGCGAGTGGCAGGAGTCACTCATCGTGGGTCAGCTCCAGGAGCAGCATGTGGGGAACAAGCTGCATGCACTAGGCAGCGCGCATGGACACTCAAGGAGGTCCGACAGCCTGTTCCCACTCACCACAGTGCCGTCGTAATACCCCTTGATTGCTAGCCCAATGAAGTTCTGAACTGTGCGGGGTGCCTGGCGTTCGTATAGTTCCACCGTGAAGGATCCCATTGACGTCTGAATCTCCACCATTGGTGCCGCCATGTTGGAGAGAGTAAGTGGAGGATGCTCCTGCCTCCCTAGATTGAGGAGCGGCTTGTCCCGTCTATCGCTATTTGGAGAACGCTGCGCGCAAGGTGAGATGCGATCGAGCTGGAACTCAAGCTACACGCTGATTTGGACGTGGTGCGTAAAGAACATCAACAAAGTAACGCCAAGAGTGGATGGCTCGATCAGCATGGGACTTCGACGGCAGTGAGTGTCTGGCGCCCCAACACCAACGCATGCCACGTCGTCACCCGGGTTGAAGTTCCGATCGCCATGGGCGCTCCAGGGCTCTCCATTTGTAACCACTCGGAGGACATTCGACATTCCTTTCGCCGATAATTGCATCCTGCACCTCGGCATACCTGCGTATCGCTGCCTTGTCGCTCCTCCTCTCCTGTGAGGGGTGTTCCCCTCTTTTCCGAGGGGTTACACCGCCATGCGAGCCCTGGCTTTCCCCCAGATCAGCTTGCCACGATGACAGACGGGACGGAGGCAAGCCTCCACCCAAAGAGGGTGGCTGCACTGCCCGCCTCTGCAGCCCCGCCCCCGGCCAAGAAGAAGAAGCGGCAGGCCACCAGCCCCGACCTCATCCGGCGGGAGATACTCGATGTGTACAGCGCATATGACGCCCTGCTGTCGTCTCCCACGGACCCGGAGCCCTACGTGCAGACGCTCGTCTCTGCAGGCGCCAGTGAGTTGAAGGGTGTGGCCGCGCTGGGCGGCTGCCCATCTCCATGGCGCCACCCCCAGAATCCCTGCCCTAGAGATCATTCGCTGCCCATCATCAACTTCCCTCCTCACCCAAACACACATCTGCTCGAATCGCAGCCGGGTCGGCGCCCGCCAGACGCCTGGCCGCCCGCCTGCTGCCCCGCTTCGCCTCGCTCTGCCCCCGCCTCTGCCTCCCCGCCAGCTCGGCGCTGCTGGAGCTGGCGGCGCTGAGCCTGGGGGCCGGCGAGGAGGCGCTGGCCGCGGATGCCCGTCGCGACGCCGGCGCGGGGCTGCCCCTCGTGGTTCCCGCGATGCTCCGCGCCGGGGCCGCCGGGCCCGCGGCCACCCGGGCGGCCATCGGCCTGATCGACGCCGCCTTCCGCAGGCTGGCCCGGCCCCCCATCCCGGGGGCAGAGGCCGAGGCCTGGGTCGAGGCGCTGGTGGTCGCCTTCCGCGCGCGGCCCCGACTCGTCCTGGCGGCCTGCCTGCCGGCGCTGAGGGCGGAGGGCGGGGGTTCGCGCGCCGTCGCCGCCTCCCTCATCCGCGACCGGCTGCTGGCCGGCGGGGTGGCGGCGGAGGTGCTGGCGCAGCTGCCCCTGGGCGAGGCGCTCTGGTTCGACAGCCAGCTGGAGGGGGCGCTGCCAGGTGGGCAGGTGGCTCGATGGGGTGACGATGCAGGCGGGGGTTGGTGGATGGAGGGCAGGGCGGCTTGGGAAACGACAGGGGGCAGCCTGACGGGGGGCGTTATCGCGTCTGCCCCGCTGAAACTGTATGACTTCATGCAGTGTGCGCTCATCAGTCCTCTGTCGACACGCTCTCAACCATGGCGCCCCGCCCACAACAAATGCCCACCCCCCACCCAGGCCTTCCCCCCGAGTGCGCCAGCCTGGTGCGCCAGCTGGCAGTGAAGGTGCCTGGGTCGGCGGCCCAGGCAGCAGAGGAAGCCCGACTGGCAGAGGGAGCAGGCGGGGACATCTTGGCCGATGGGCCACAGGATGGGTGCGTGCTCTTTGGTGCCTTAACCTTGTGCTGTGCCCAAGGGCCATGGGGCTGGTTGCATGGCTCGCCAGGCATCGCTGCTGTCACGATTCATTGGGTGCTGCCGTGCCCTATTCTCACCGCGTCTCTCTTCCCTTTTTGCCTGGCAGACACCGAGCCCCTGCACCAGCCTCCTGCAACGGGAACGGCGGCCCGTCCAACCCTCCCCTGCCTGGAGACAGCGGCGCGGCACCTGCGGCCCCCCTTCCCCCGACCGCCCACGTTTTCCCGCCGGGAGCAGGAACCCCTGCCTCCCCACTCCCGCCCCTCCCGGCTGCAATGGTCATGGGGGGTCCACCAGGTGACCTCCCGCCCGCCGCACCCCCGCTTCCTCCTGGGGACCACCCGGAATGCATCGCGCCCCCTGTCCATGCCCCGGGAAACCCAGCGGCTCCTCTGGCGTCGGTAGCGCCTCGGTCAGCATCCCAGGGCCAGCTGAGCCCGGAAGGGAGGCACGCCTGCTCGGGGCGCAGGCGTGACTGCGAGGAGGACCCGTCCAGTGGCCCGGGGCCCTCCGATGGGCACCGGCGCCGCGATGGGCCGCCGGCGTGGAGGGGCGCGGCCGTCGTCCGCCCCCCCTCTCCGCCGCGGCAACCCCGCCCCAGCGGCCGGCTACGCGCACCCTTCGCCGCCAGGGGCCCTCCCTCACGGCGCAGCCCCAGCCCCCCCATCCCCCGGCGCGGCCGGGCGCGGCCCAGCGGCGTCAGGGATGGCGCCAGCGGCTCCCCGCGCCGGCCGCCGCGCCGCTCGCCCTCGCCCGAGGGCCCGCGCCTGGCCGGCCCGCTCCTGCGCTTCTCGCGCCTGCCGCCGGACCTCCCGCCACGCGCGGTGCGCGCAGAGGCCGCGCGCCACGCACGCGCGGGGCGCGTGGCGCCGGCGGGCCCCGGTGCCGTGCTGGTCTGCTTCCCCTCCATGCACGAGGCGGCGGCCTGCTTCGAGGCCATGGCCGGGCGGCCGGTGTGGGGCCCCGCGCCCCTGCGCCTGGATTGGGCGCTGCCCCCCGCCGCCGCCGAGGAGGGCGCCGGGCCGGACCGCGCGGCCCACGTCTGGGTCCCGGGCGTGGCGGGGCCGGCGCAGGAGGGCGCGGTGCTGGCCGGCCTGCGCCGCGCGGGGCCCGGCGCGGCGGCGGCGCCAGTCATGCGCGTGCTGGGCGCGCGCCCGGGCCTGCTGCTGGGCGGCGGGGGGTTGAAGACGGCGGAGGAGGTGCTGCGCGCGCTGCGCGGCGGGGAGCCGGGTCCGGAGTTGAATGGAGCGTCCAGGGAGGCGGTCAGGGACCCCGCGGCGGCGGCGCGGGCCCAGGGCCCCAGCCGCTCGTCCAGCGAGGAGGCGGGGGAGCTGAGGCCCTAGACGGTGTCGTGCTTGGTCTTGCATTGGGGATGCTGCAAGGCAGGGCACCAGAACCCTCACGCTTGAGCCATCCTCAGACGGTGCGGTGGCATGCCAGCATCCCGGGCACGGCGAAGGCTGGGAGCGGGAGCTCCGCGTGCTTTGACGAAGGGGTGGAGGTGGGGAAACCCGGTCGTCGGAATACTGGAGCATCGAGGGCTCCTCACCGCTCTCTGAGATGCCTCGCTGTCACTGAGTGGCCGGTGTGTAATCCTTTAAAACACCCAAGTCCAAGATGCGAGTCGGTTGTGGGTTGTGGGAGCATGCGGGCATCTGAAGCTCGACTCAGAACCCGGCTGAAATGCTGAGAGCTGGTGGATCTGACGGCTATAGTTTGAAACTTCCAGGCACCTGTCATGCTTCGTTCATACCATCCAGAACACATCCGATCCCATTAGACCTCGGCAATTAAGCTGGATTGGGCAGGAATAGTACTGCGGTGGGTGACCACGTGGGAAGTCCCTGTGACGAAGTGTATTTTTTGCTGATGTTGGGGTGGCCTGGAGTAGCAGCACGAGCATCAACATAGCTGCGAAGGATGCAAGGGCAAGTTCTTACCACTCGCCTCTGCATACTTTCCATTTTATGCGCCTGGATGATAACGACTGGGAACGGTCATTTTCTGCAGCACCGTACAACGAACATGCCTGGACACCTACACAGAGGGAAATCGACGCCACATCGAGCGGGGCACACACAGGAACACCAGTCGAGATATTCTGGGAATGGTGAGGCCTCCATGGTTCGTTCATACCATCCAGAACACATCCGATCCCATTAGACCTCGGTAATTAAGCTGGATTGGGCGGGAATAGTACTGCGGTGCAGGGTTATCGAAAATGGACCATGGAAATTTTCGATTATGTGAATTTCCGGAAATTTTCAAGCTGAAAACCCCGCCAAATCGAAATTTTTCGGGCTCTATTACATCAGGCGCTTCATGCAAGGGGGAGGAGGGGGAGGGGGGGCGAGGAGGTAAGATGCTTGGTCAATTGAGTGTTTTACTCTGCCTCAGAGAGCATGCCATCGTCCAGGAGATACTCATCGTGAAAGAGCTCACTCAAGGGGCAAGTTTTGTCCAAGGCACGCAGAAAACGGGAGTTGGCATAGATGTATACCAGATCCATTGCACGTTCGGTGGAGAGCCGATTCCGCAACTTGCTGTGAACATATTGGTACTGACTCCAATTGCATTCACATGCAGAGGAGGAAGATGGTTTGCTCAACAAGCGATATGCAATACGGAATAAATGGGGATGGCGGCTGCCATACGTTTTCCACCAATGGTGGGCACTCATCCCCTGGCGGTAGAGAAGACATGAAGATGCCAAAGTTTCCTGGGAACTTACCAGCTCGGAATGCACTTGGAAACAGTCAGAAGGGTTTGGGAAGAACTTCTTGAAAACCTTGTTCAGGCCGTCATGAACCTCGCCTGAGTGCAGCTTCAAGAGGTGCAGAGGGTGGAGTCTGTGTGCCGCCATGTGCAAATCTCCTATCATCATCCTCCTCCGATTCTTGAAGGATGCCATGACCGCCAACTTTTCAGTCGAAGGTATGAGCTCTGATGAGACCAGCAACGCCTCCACTGCCTGCAATTGACCGACTAGATCTCCCAGAAAGGCCGAACTTGCATCCACCTGCCGCAGTAGCATCACGAGGCGCCTAGGGCAATGGGCAGGTGATACGTGAAGCTGTCAGCAGATTAGAAGTTTTTGCAAGCCAAGGACATCTAGCTGAACCCAGACAACTGCACATCACCTGGCAAGGTCCAACAGGGCCTGAGCTTTGTCCTTCCATGAGATGTCACAGATTTTTTATGCATGGTCTCCAGCTTCACGTCTCTTGGCTGGAGGCAATTCTGTAAGCCACTGATGCCATGCATCCGAGCCTACCATTCTCCTCAGCTTCCCATTCACATCCAGATACCTGTCCAGCATCAGGAACTTTGAACCAAACCGAGTTTCACCTACAGATACAAAAATGAAACATCAAAGTTGGGCATGCTTCTTGTCCAGGTGATGTCACACCTCATGCTACACCACACT